TACAGCATCCAAAAAAACAAAAAAAAAAAAAAAACGTACCAAATAGGATATGAAAACCGCAGTAAATAGTGAAGGTTGATAGTATAGTTTATAACAATATTTAAAAAAGCATTGAAAAAAAAGTAAAGTCCTCCAAGAATAAATTTTATTATTAAAATTCAAAATTCGTTCCCAACTCATCCTTTTTTATTATTATGATTACTACTACTATGTGCCGGCAAAAACCTGCCCTTTCCTCCTGCTGCCATCTGTTGATTCTTTTGGAAAATTTAAAACATGTTGTTTAAATTTTAAAGTATTTAAGCTTTTAATTTTAAATTATACTGCTATTCCACATAATTTTTTTTAATTGATACAATTTTCATATAAGCTATTTTACTTGAGATTTAACTATGCTTTTAAATGTACACGTACTGACTTAAATATTGAGAATGTTCTTATTCTTACATTACATTTCTCTCCAAAATAAGACTTTTAAGTTATAAGCATTCCAAAGCAAAATTTTATGATCATGAATTAAATAATGGTAGTTTACTCATAAATTTTCCATCTAAAAATTATGATAATTCTTTTTTATATATAAATTCAAAAATAAATTTGAACCAAATACCAATTTTGGAGGGAAAAACTTGAGAGTAAACATTTTAAAAATAACTATAACTATTATTACATTTCTATATTCATTTTATTGTCATAAAATTTCTTAAAGCTGAAGTAAATTTCCCTGACAACAAACTTAGAAAATTCTTGTTTTTAACTGAAATTATTTATTTCATAATTAGAGTAATTGAAGGGAATCTAAATGATCGAATGAATTTATTAAACCAAAAGAAATCTTTTAATCAAATTCTTAGAATTTTAAAGTAAAAGTTGACCTTGACGTCTCATGATGATGTGTGCACCTAAGTCAGAGTCAAATCATCATGGAAAAAAGAGTTGACATTACATCAAGTGAAATTTGATTTCTTGATTCTACCATAATTTTAAACGAGCTTCTTCGATGGTGGTATCTAAATGGTTCGCACCCTCTTCCCCATAATCTCGAGACCAAATGTAAATTCTTTCCAGCCTATCAAATTATCGTTTCCTCCTTGGTATACAGATAGCACATAGGAGCATGTAAGTATTACATGTAAGTCTCCCCACATTCTAAGTTATCACTCCAAAATAAATTTCACCTCTTCAAATAAGTACTCTGTCCGATCCTGATCTATGTAGCATCTATCTGGGTCTAGCCACTAAGACAAATTCAAATCGTACAAAAATAAAATTCTTAGAATCATACCTAGAGGCACCATTACCAGACGTAATTCAGTTATCCATAGTGACTTCAAAACTGATCCTATACGTGAACATATTAAAAACTATCAATAAAATTCTTCGCTGGTATTGCTCATCATCACAATCCAATTATGAAATCTAAAGTTTTCTTTGTCAACAACATCGGAAAAAGAAATTCCATTAATCACAATCAAACGGACCTCTAAAGCCGCCGTAGCAACAGCCGAGGCAAACTTCAATATTATCAACAACTTCTTCTAGAAAGACAATTTTCAATTCCTTCTTCAACAAGCAAGTGCATAAACAGAAATATAATACAAATCAAAGACCCTAAAAAGTCTTCCCTTTCAAACAAAAAAAATCAAGGCTTCTCCACTCCAAATCTTTATCGATCTCAAGATTATGTTTTACCGCTCAGTCCCTCGATAGCACTCGAAGACAGTGCTCTTTCTTGATGAATCTATGTTCCAGCCCCTATCATCACTGCTTCCTGACTTTCCCTTCCGCTACAATACAAATGTAAATGAATTCACTAAATTGACTCTGAATCAGTTGCAATGAACACTAACTGTTAGATATGTTTATATTAATATCTCTTTGTTAATATTTTTTTATTCTTTGTTTTTATTTATTTACTTTTAATTATATGGGGGCTTTAATTATATCTCTGAATTTATTATTATTATTCCCTTCTGACCATTTGCACTTAATTCCTTTCAACTGAATAGAACGGCATTATGTACCGGCTTTCCAATCAGTTATCCAATCTGGTGTGGAACCATTTGGTTTAGTCAGCACCTGTTCGCAGGGATCAAAATTCTGCAAGAGAAAGAAAAGAAATCCTATCTACACTAGTAAAGCAAAAAATTAAATATTAAAAAGGAATAAAAAATTGAATTTAAAAAGTTGTAGTTAAAGTCGTTTTCAAACCTCGTTGACAATAAGTAAGGGTATACACACAAAGCTGAGTATAATTTTATGAGCGTGGGGAAAAAAGACAACGGTTAAAATGCTCTATAAACATTTACTAAATACCAGCAACATCAGGAATAAAACTATATTCAGCAATGAATGAAAATTTAATATTTTCCTAATGATGGCCACCTAATGCTTTTTGAGAAAACTAAATAGAACTCTTTAGTCAAAACTTTTAATGTATACTGTCAAGCATGCAAAATATCTATAATGATATGGAAATGTACGACTGCTTGGGTAATCTAGAAATTGAACTCCATTGATGATATCATAGAATAGACTGAAAAATTTAGCACGCCAATTTGAATAGAAATCTCAAAGAAAGTGTCTTTAATTTGACTAAGAAAATACATTTTATTTTTTAAAAATGGATCTCAAGCACACGGCAAGGAATATTATTAGATCCCGAGGGCAAATATGTATTTTTCTCCATTCCCAAAATAAAAATTTGAAAATATAAAAATAAATTATGTATTATTCTTTAACACCATCAAATTATACACGACGATTTGAAACTATTTTAAAAACAAGAGGTTGTGCAAACAAGTTTTGAAATGCTATTTTATAGCCGTAGCTTATTCAACTATGTTCTCAACAATATTCTGAATAATTGGAAGCAAACAATTTGTATTATTTAATATTATATTCATTAATTTTTATCGAATCTTATTTTGGATCCAATTTTTTAATGTTATTGACATGAAAATATTTGTTTTTCAAATATATAAAAAATGCAACACAAAATGGCAATTATAAGAATTATTTATTTGTGAAAAAAAAAAAAAAACTTCATTTGTCAAATAACAAAAACATTTACAATCAATATTACTTTTTAGGATTTCTTCTAAGTTTAATGACTGATTGCAGATAAAATACGACACTATAAGACATGACTCATTAACAGTCAATAGGTCCACCACTATGCTAAAAAAACAATGGTCGATCTCTTGTGTCCCCTTCTCTCCAATATGTACTATAGACGACCATGAAAACTTTCGGGGTTTCTACCATATGACATGCAAATGAAGAACAGTTACCTTTTAAAATATTACTCGAAAGCAATAATCATCAGAGTTCAAAGTGCTCAGGAAGCTCACCAGAGGACTGTTTTGGGGAGCTCTATGTTGCAAACATGGGAACCCTGATGTAAAAATGCTCCCACTATTCTAAAATTAAATGATATTATGAAAAGTGAAATTTATAATTATCCAGCATAGCGTGCAATTTGATCCGAATTCTATTTCCATTAATAAAGTGTGTTGCAATCATTGCTTTGTTAAACTCGGTGTTGATTGCGACACAGTCTTGAATATTAACTCGATGTTTGGCAAGAAATCTCTGTTTTCCCCGTATGAAACGTAAATGGAGAAATCGCTTTGAAAACCTTCCTAGAAGACATTGCCAACTCCAATAGGAAATAAAGTTGGCATTTAAGTTGTTTTAAAATGGAAACCATTGAATAACTTATTTTTCAAATATTTAGTGCTTTACTTTTTATTTAACTAAAGCTGGGTCGCTATTTTAATCTTTCATCAAAATCTGAAATTATTTCAACAAAAATCATCAGTTCTATTTTTTAAGTAATATGGTGGTCCGTGCTTGCCTCATTTAGTGAATAATAAAAACAAATCAATGAAAGGCACAGGTTAAACTTTATTCATGATAATTTGGATTAAGAAATAGCATGATGTACATAAGATATAAACAGACTTGTTAAGGCCAATGACTGTATAGATTTCCTATGGCTTATGGGTGGGCGTAGACATGTGCTATCTATTATATACCTTTTGCTTTGCTTATGGTTATCGTATATTGCTGCAAATGAAAGCAAAAATATATTTTAACTTGTGTGATATTATTTTAGTTAAATTTTTAATTTTTGTGGTAGCTAAAGTTGAATTAAAGTATTTCATTAGTCAAGCATTTCATAATTTTTGGATTTGTTATTATTCACGATTGAAAACCATCGTTCTCGGCTATATTTCGATTTAAAGATGCTTTCGCGTTTTAATGTAATGTCTAGCTCAGGGTGGCTAACCCAAATGATCTTGCGCCACTTTGAAATGCATCATAACTCCGCAGGCCGCATATTAAATTATATATCCATATATTAGATTTACAGTAGACCCCCTATAGACATTTTTAGAGTGAAAATTGAAACATAATGAGTTATTATTTTTGTGTTTACTTCTATTCTTACACTTAAACATAGATAATATAATAATAATGATACTAAACGCATATTGTAAATAAATATAAAATATATATCAATATAAACGAAAAAAAAAATGAAATCATTAAAAATACTTATTTTATTAGTGCGATATTTGCTTCTCACTCTTTCACTTAGCTTTTACAAATCGATCTCAATTTGGGTATTTGCACAGATATTTGGTGTTGTAGTATAGTGTCCCTCATGTTTGAGCATGTTTTGTGTTTGATCAATTGGTCAACTGTTGTTGTTGTTTTCTATCCCACTTGGCCAAGCCCACGAGCCCAGACATACTCATGATTGAAGGGGAAGGAAGCAGCTTCTGTTGTGATGGAGCACCCGTAGGTAGAAGTCTGACTTTGGCTCCGTGACGCTCTTACAGTCATAGGAGACCGGGACCTACGGCTTAAAGTGGATTCCGAACCATCACAAACATCCATGGCACCGCCGGGATTCGAACCCGAAACCTGTGGCACCGAGCGCCAGAGCGCTAGACACTCGGCCATTCAGGTCCAAATTTGTGAATGCTAACCGGCACGCGGTGTTCCCAGGTGGTCACCCACCTTAGTACTGATCTGCGCCCAATGATGCTTGACTTCGGTGATCTAACGAGAACCGGTATATTCAGCATGGTATGGCCGTTGGCTGGTCAACTGTAAAGTCATAAATAAAACAGGCAATATCTGTCATATATTCGCAAGAATATTATTTTAAAATCAAAGTCAATTTTTTCTCATAATTTCGACAGTTAATTTTTGAATATATGGATGCACACATAATGTATTTTTTTTAATACATTAGTTTTCACTACTTTGGCCATTATAAAATAAATATATTTTGTAAAAATGTGATAAATTTCTCTGGCCAGCAAAAATGTTCAAGGCGGGTCGCGGGTTGGTCACCCTTGGTTTGGCTATTATTTATAAAGTTGAATTTGATTAAGTTGACTTCATTAAATTTATTCAACAAGTTATCATTTCTACTTGGTGATAATATCGAATTCGTTTCAAGCAAAATGTGGAGAGAGAAAAAAAGAATGGTTCTCCAAGTCTAGCAATGAAATTATTTTTAGGTCACCATAAATACGTTCATCTGCAGCTTGATAGGATATTATAAATCTTTTTTAAATAAAATTTAGATTAAACTTTCGAAAACTCTCTTGTAATTTTTTAAAATCTTCTTAAATTGATCAGTAACATTAGCGAAGGGTCGCGTCTGTTTACACAGTAAAGACAACGCTAAAAAAATCTTTTTTAAGTGACAAACCACAAATAAAATAATTTTGAAGGTTAAAAATGCAGCTACGACATGCCAGTAAATATAAAAATAGTTTACAACGGCCTTGAAACTGGAAAGGAAAAAACAACTGAAATGATTACAAAGATTAAAATTACAAAATAACAATGATAATGGTTAGAATAGGAAAGTGTTATTTTCATTTCCGCTTTTAACAAAACACGTGATGTATTTATAAAAGATGAGGAAAATTTGTTTTCATGAATAATATGCTAATAAAGTGCCCTGGTCATTTTTATTATCATTTTCTGTCGTATATTTCACATATTTGTCATTTTCAAGGTAAAATTAAGAATGTTTTTTTTCGATTGCTTGAAAATAATGATATTCTTTCCAATTGCAATTTATAAACGCGGGCTTGTTAAAAAACAACACAGAATAAAACAGATATTGATTTAATAAAAAACCGCGTTAATATTTTTAATTTATTATGAGTACTTTTATAATTGCATTTCAAATGGTATCCATTACGTTCACTAAAATATTTATTTCTTGCTTTTTTTTCTTCCTTATAAATATACTGCAAAATTTCCCGAGATCTGTTTTTTTTGTTTTTAATTTCAAAAATGATTAATAATATTATGAAAGAAGAATCTAAAGAATGATAGTTATTTTAAGTATATGTTCCAATTATTTCTCCTAATTATATTATTTGTTTTTGTCAGTTTTCTGCTTACAGTCTGACTGAGATTAATGCTCGATTGACTGAGTTTTGAATTTGACTGAGATTAATGCTCTCGCTAATTGGCTGTCTGCTTGCAATGAAAACTACTTATTACGATCATTTTGCAACTTCCATTTTTATATCAAATAATAACCAGCAAATAACATTATACAGAAAATAAAAATGTCCATTATAATAAGCAAATTAGTGACCTTTTGACAAAGAGTGACAGATATTTATCATACACTGTATATTTAATAGAATATTACACATTCATATCACAATTTTTATGGACAACTACTTTAGAAAACAGCAAAATATATTTGCTTTTGGTGCAAACGAACTCTATTAACCGGATCATTATTTTCACGAAATTATACTGTCAAAATTGTAATGGAATCTCAACTTTATAATTTTTCTCATATCGATCTCTCTTTCCTTTGATGTTTTCGTTAGAAAATGATGAAATCTGTACATCTCACTTTGATCTTTCCAAGGATTGTTTATTTCACATATATCCTACAGCATCATACAGAATAGTATAAACTAAAAACAATAATGCACCGGGTGGCATTAAATGACACAGAGCGTCCACTTGTGTTGTGCCTGTGTCATTCCATATGTTATTTTTCAAAACAAAATAACAAATAATAAGTTCAGAAAAGTAATTTATACATATTTTTAAGAATCTTTGCCTTGAATTAATGTAAAAGATTTAAAATGTATTAAAATTTAAATTAAAAATTCCAATCAAATTCCAAATTCAAATCTATTTAATACGAAATTACTTAACACTTAATTTTACACCCATTTTTAAGAATATATAGCCCCCTACCACTTAGGTGAGAATGGTAAATAGGTACAATTATTCCTTTCTAAAAAATAGCAATTAATTCTTCAAATTTCCGGTATTTTTTCCTTTAAAACTTTATCATTATCCTTATCACTTTTAAATGATTGCATTATAAGCAAATCACGAGTTATTTTTATGTATATTAAAGCGCGGCTATCCAACTTGCGACCCTATGCTGTGAATATAACCCTATATAAAAATTTTTGACAAAAAAATGCAATGAAATAAGTACATAAATACTTATTTTTTTATTTATTTTTCAATTTTAGTTACGTAAAAATATATAAAAATACTGAAATGAATAGCTTTTATTCTGATACCAGTCACCATTTTTTTATTTTTATTTTCTGAGTTATTTCTATTAAATCTTCTCAACCTAAATTATAATGATTTAAAAAAAAAATCAGATTACTTTACTACACATTTTTTACTTACTTATCACAGTGGTTATATGTATATTATTTACTAATGAATATTTAAAATGCCTGCTACTTACTAATACATATTTAGAGTGCATGTTATTTACTAATATATTAGAATGCATATTTTTATTAAATTTTTTTTACTTCTCAATTATTGATATATTAGTATTTTATGAGCATTTGTTTCCTCTCTTCATTGAAAATATCTCTCAGAGACATATCACATTGCATAATACTATTAAAATGAAGAGCTCTCCTAATTTATTTTATGAACTCTCAATATATATATATATTTATACAATGAGATAAATTAATTCTAAAAATCACTCTTTCAGTGTTATAAATTTGAAGCAAAACAAATAAAAACTTAAAAACTTAAAAATGTGTCAGTCACTCAGAAAAATTATTTGCATTTCTTACTTTTGGTACTTTTCACATATGTGCTTGGGTTTTTTTTAATATATTTTTGAACGTAAAATTGGACATTCTATGCAAGTTACAGGAGTGTAATTATTTTCTTGCGTCCACATCTTTTTTTTTTTTTTTTTTTTCTTTAGGGGGAGTTCTTCTGGGGTTGTAAATAATAAATATCTAATTTTACATGAAAGTAGAATAAAATTAGCTATATATCAATAGCATAATCGTAATAATGCCTAATCCGTTTTCTGACCATATAATATTTTTAATGAAAATTTGTATTTAACACTTCTTACAGTTAAAGAAAGAAAAAAAATGTCTATGTTATGGTAGTCAATTTAAAATGTCACTTTTTTTATTCTGAATCTACTTCACTAAAGCCCGTGATGTATGGCATGTTACATCAATTTAAGGCCATTCATGTTGTGTCACTTTTTTTTTCCGAAATTCAAGATCCCAATTATTCTACAGGTACATTTGGCCCCTCATTCGGATGGCGTTTTCTGACTTTTCAATGTATATATTTAAAAAAACACCAACAAAATTATGTGACCCTCAACTTTAAAAGCCATTTCTGTGCAGTTAGAACTTTGGAAGAGGGTAAATAAAATACAAATAGTAATCAAATAATTATTCTGGAATTCGCAGCTATCTTTTCAATGAATGTTATACTTAGTTCGCCGTCGTTCTTCTTAAAGTTTAAAACTATTAGATTCCATTAAAAAATTTGCTTATCTTTTATTACTGTTAAACGTAAAAAATAACAAAGCTACAAAGAAATATATTTCATTGATGAATAAGTCATGTCAGTTTTCTTTTTTTAAATTATGGAGAAGACAAAATATATAATAAATTTGAGAGCGTATTGTTATAAAGTGATTTCGTTTTGTCTAGCAATTAAAATTATGCACAAACTCGTTGAAATCCTGAAAACTGTAGTTCAAGAGTTACTCTTTCAAACTAAAATTCATTTGAATTACTTTATTTACTGTTATTTTTTATGAATTTTTGTTTTTCTTTTGCAGAAAACAGACCTCTAGGACAAGCGTCACAAGCTTTGGTGCAGAAGAAACAACAGAACATTCGCCGTCACCCCAGGTATGAAATGAAATTGAAATATCTTCTGTAATACAGTTAATTTTTAGAAGATATAACATTTAATTATCTACTTGTGATATATATTTCGTGGAATACAGGAACAAATTTTAAAGCATGATGGAAACCACAATCTTGCACAAAAGTATAAAGCACCCTAAAAATTCAAATATTTTTAAAAATTTCAATGTACATTGAAACATAGCTTTTCATCATTAATCGTAGACAAGTATTATGCAGTCTTTTAGTATTTGCTGATGATGCATTTTAGATTAATGGCAGCATCAACTATATTGTTTTTGCTAAATACTAAATTTCAACATTTATACCATTCCATACTTCTCGGAAATCGTTTTCAATAAATGTTTGGATGTTACAGAAAAAAAAAGCTTGCCAATCTTATATATTACTGTTTAAAAGTAAAATGATAAAACTACAATGAAATATATTTTGACAAAAAAGTCACGTCAGTTTTCTTTTTTAACTAAGGAGAAGGCAAAATAGATAATAAATTTGAAAACGTATGTTTATCTATCAAAAGTTGTTTTGTCTATCAAAGAAAAATGTGTACAAACTCGTTGAAATTATAAGTTATTAAGTTGAGGTAACTTTAATTTTGAAAGGTTCCATAAAAGTTCGGTTGGGTCAAAGTCTAGAAATTATGGTAGTCCATCTAAAATGTCATTTTTGTTATTCTGAATCGACATCGTTAAAGCCCATGATATGTGACATGCTGCATTATAATGCTAAAATTTAAGACTATATTCAACAAGTACATTAACGTTCATTTGACCATTCATTCGACCTTCATAAGCAATGATTGTTCTTATGCCATCAATCACCATTCAGCATTGTATCATTCTACTTGCTTTTCCATGTTTTAAGGTGATTCCGA